TTTCATCCTCCTTTGGATTATCTATACGGATTACCAAAATTTTCATTACTTATGAAGAAATACAGTTTTTAGGTATGCTATTACGGGATAAAGTGCTCAATATCAGTGATAGAGCATATGTAAATATAAAAGTGAACACTGAATTCAACACTCAAAGGTGACAGACTGTTTCATGCTAAACACTGTTTAGCATGAAGCAGTCTGTTCTCTCTGAGTGTTGACATTGATGTTCACTTTTATGTGTGTGTGCGTGTGTGTGATTTTATATGAAAATTTTCTCTAATCATTCTTCTTTAAAAGTGCACCAAAATTATTATGATAAAATTCATGTGTATATAAGTTTTGGGTATTTATATCAACACATGCAGCTTTGTTTTCAAAAATCCATGTCAGTATCTCAAACAATTCAGTGATAATCTCAAACAACAAAAAGGGAGTCAACAAAACTTACAAGAAAACCTATTTCGAAAATAAAAAGAGCAGGGAGAAAACTGAACCCCTTAAAAGGACAAAAAGGAAATGACATTATTGTGAATATAAATTTCCTTTAGAATAAAAACATTTCTGAAATTCAATTTTTGGTGCTACTTAAACAGATTAGTCAACACATGAAAAAAAAAAAAAATAGAAAAAATGTTTTTGAGCAATCATTTTTGGAGATTAACATTCTTTAGACCTTACTCAAGCATCAACATTTGCCAGAATAAAAAAATATTGATTTTTTTTTTTATTGATTTAGAAGTGAGGCCCTGTTTATGATATCAAAACAATGTCAAATAGATCCCTGGCATTTACAGAGTTATCTGCACTTATTTTATTTACAACTTTTGTGCCTTGAAAATGTGCTCACATCATTGATATCTGAATATTTTATTATACTTTTGTTAATGTACTACATTAAAAATGTATGCCTCTATTTGTTTTCAAAAGACAAAAATCATTTTGTAAAAACTAAAAGTGAAAATCAATTTCACCAAAAGAATGATTGTTTAATATATTTTCTTAAAATAAAATGCATAAAATGTATATATCCAATTGTTCTTTTTTAAAAAAATCTTTTTGATAAAAAAGTCTGTTTTTCTACACTTATCAATGATATAAACACAATTTTAAACTTGACATTTGTAAATAAACAGTTATATTTCAATGTGTAAAAGTCAGTTACTCTGTATTGATATTATAATCAGGTCACCCTCTTCTAAAATCATGAAAAAACAATATTTTTTTTATTCTAATGAAGTTCTAAAGAATGCTAATCTCCAAAATTTATTTTTAAAAAATGTTTTCCTAATTTTTATTTTTTCTATTTGAGCAGAATTATTTTTTAAACCAGATAAAATCCTTAAAATTTCAATTAATTACAAAAAATAGTTTAATCACAACACAAACAATTCATCAGTTAAATTCTTATTAAATAATGATTAAAGATCTTATTGATACCTGATCAAACTTTAAAAAGTTTGAAATGGTCTGTGGTTGAACTTTTTCTCATAAAATAAATAAACTAATACGTTTCTGAAAACAAATACTTAAAAATGTTCAATAGTCAAAAAATCTTGGTGCAACCAAAATGGATGCATTTTCTCTGAAATGAAAGCAAAAAATTACTAGACTCTTTTTTTAGAAATCCATTTTTTTTCCAAAAATGAAAGCAAAAGATCATTACACTTTTTTAAAAACTGAAAAAATCAGGAATTATCCAATTTAAACAAAATTTTCCGTATTTGTTCATTAATGAATGAATTGTATATGAATAGGTCATTGTATCAAAAATCTTTGTGGAAATATGGATTTGGGGGTCAGTTTCACCTCCCCTTTTTGATATCTCCACAAATCTTAATTAAAATTTGGGGAGCAGTCATGGAATTCTTTTATAGTTATATAAAGAAAAATCCTTGAAGATGTTATTTTAGTACAAAATTTATGCAATATTTAGTGTGAACATTGTGAAAATTTATCCTCAATCTTATTAAAAAAAAAAATTTCTTATACTTTTGATTAAATAAGGTCAAATATAATCAATTTTTAAAGATAAATACCAATTTCTTGATTGTTTCACTTCTGGTGTTCTGTATTTCATTAAATTGTTTTAATTTGTTGGACACTTTTTAAGAGACAGGTGTGTAGCAGAGCCCCTGGAGGAGGGGACCTGTGCAATCCCCAAATGAGTCACAAAAGGCCCACTAACATTTTATAAAGAAAAGAAGCAAATCTGACAGGTCAACAACAGGACAACAAATGACAAACTAAAAATTAAATACAAAATTTATTTACATAATATGCAGAAGTATGTGTTTGGATTAAAGGAACATGAACAAACAATGAATCAAGTAAAGGAGGCAGAATTAAGTAAATTGAGAAATACTGACTGGCTAGAAGACCTAGATAATATAACTGTGACTAAATGTTAAAAGTAGAGTCCATGTAAATTAAGTTGACATGTAGTGCCCACAGTTTGAAAGATCAGTTCACATGTCCGGTGAAATTGTTCCATAGTATTTTAACCAAAGTGTATGGAATAGGTTATTTGAATCTGGGTGATATAGCTAAGAAGAAAGTTCAATTTAAATGTCCTTTCTGGATATTATGAACCTAATGTCTTCAGCAATCATTTTTTTACCAAAGCTCATATTGCTGAAGACATTAGGTTTATCGTTTATAATACCCAAAGATTCATACACAGATGTCCTCAAGAACAAATGGCACAGTGGATAAAGGTGTTGGTTAGATCCAGTGACCCAAAGTGTGTGAGTTCAATACCTGGTTAGGCAGTGGAGAACTTGGAGAGGGGAATTAACAGGAGATAACTGACATCAATTAAACATGGAACTAGAACAGTCTACTCCAGTTCAGTTCGACATTCCAACCACCTGAAGAAGGCTGGAGTGTACAACGACCGAAATGATGTAATAATTATGGTGACAAAGATGAGGACAGTCGTAATAATGTACCTCATCTCAGAAATATAGACAGATACTGTATTTATTTCAAACTGTATCAATTTATTAAAACTGGATTATTTATATATAGATTGACAGCATGGTAAATGGAACTGACAAGCTTGCATTGGAAAAGGCATTTTTCTATAGGTAGTGAACTGGACTCTCTAACCTTGGCAACTGGACTAGAAGAAGGAAAATTCTGAATTCAAAACTGTGGAGAGAAAACGTGTCCGCTATGATGAAAAAAGATGAAAAGAAAAAAAATCAATAAAAGTGTACACAGTAGTGTACGTTTCACTCTCATGCCAGAATAGACTTTGTACTCGGTGTCTTTCAAAAAAAAAAAAAAAAACAGGAGTGGGGGTTGACCTAAGTGCAGATTTGGCTGACATAAACACATGGTCTGGGTTGCAAACATGGGATTTAGAACCATATTACAGGGAGTTATGAAAACATCCACCGCAGAGAAGAGATAGGCAGTCAAGAATGAAAGGTTCTTGTTTTGGACGAGGTACCTGGAGCCACTCACACTGTGGCCAAAAATTGCTGAAATATTGGAATAAAAAAAATGTTAAATATGGAAAATTAAGTCTTGTTTTCATTTATACGACTCATGAATTCATTACAAAAGTAAATATGTTGCATAAGTGATAATAATTTTTATCAATTACAAAAACAAACAAAGGAAAATGAATTGAAGAAAATTCAGATTTGACCGTGCATTTCATTTCCACAACAAAATGATTGAGTCAGGATAATTTTTTTGAATTTCCAAGATGATAAATTATGTATATTAATTATTTATTTATTTTTATCATCATCATTACTACAACTACGACTTCAATATAGTCTGGTTGATAGTTCGACTGAGTGAACTCGGTCCTCTTGTGCAAAAGTTAATAACAATGAATTTTGTCGTTTATCAAACGTAAAATTTAATGTTTAGTGCACTGCCTCACTCTTTAAGATTGCCAGGAAAAAAAAAAAAAAAAAAAAAAAAACGATACAAAAAAATGAAAGTTTAAAAAATTTATTTTCTTTCTTCTTACGCTCCTGTTTGAATTAGGAATGGGAATTTTAAAAGCCTTTCTTTAAGAATCTTCTTAAAAAATCCATATTTGACTTTGTCAAAGGCAAAGGGTTACCTTAGGGTTTGTCTTTATAGTTAGAAATAGCTTGCAGTTTAAAAAAAAACAACCAAAGAAGTTATTTTATATTGTGATGATCTCTAAAACTTGAGATTATCGTCGTTTCCAAGGAGATTACGGTGTATTTGTTTCTTCTTCCTATATTTGTTCAAATAACAGAAAATGCTGAAAAATATATCCCATGAACTTTACTTAGCATAATTTAATTATGATAATGGTAACAGTTATGAGCGAACAACTTTTTAAACAATGATTTTTTTTTACAATACAGTTAAGTACTCTGTTAAAAGTTCCTATGTACAAAAAGTAAATTATTTTTAAATAAAAATGACATTTTTAAGGTGGAGATGCGATTATTAAATTTATTGAGCTATTAAATGGATGTGTAGCTGTTCTCGTAGTTGTTTTGATTGTGAAAGGCGCGTAAACAAAATAGAAAAAGAGGGACGGAAGCCAGCTGGTCTCTCTTTTGTTATATTTCATTTGGTGCAAAGAACTGACAATGCTCTTAACAAGAAAATAGGCGGCATTTGGAAGGTAAAAACAGCAGCCGGCTTCAAGGTGAGAGTGATCTCCCTTGCAGTTCTCCCGCCTACCGTGGGTCATGTGATGCTTATTCAGCCAATCAGTAAGTAAGTATCAGAGGAAAATGGCCGCGAACTATTTGAATGTTGTCAGGCTTTGAAGACGAACGATAAATCTTTTTGTCGGTCCTCTGTGTTTTTGAAAGCGCCGCAATTATTGACCCCCGAATCCCAACAATAGGGCCTGTCCCTTGATAGGAAAAAAAGGGGGATTTTATAGGATTGGTTTGTTTAAGTATTATCAATAACCCGCTCCTCTCGTAATTTCTTTTTGCTATCATAAAGGAAATTTAAATCATCGACACTTAAAAGAGGAAGAAAAAAAAATGAAGAACGGGGACGAAACAGATGTGCAGATTCCTTGTCTGTCCGGAATATTGGATCTTCAGCAAGTTTGTCAACGGGAGAATGTCAAATTCTCGTCAGAAACCAACCGATATTTGGTTTATTTAATGCTGAAGAAGGTCGGCCCTTTGATGGCATCGAAGCTTTTGGATAGACGTAAGTTGAAATAATCACTTTGAAAAAAAATCGTTTTATCTCCCGGATCTTTCATTAAAACGTGGGAAAAGTATTTTTAAATCATTAACCTGTTTGATTATTGACTGGACTGTTTAACCATTACTTGTTCCGATTGTTTAGTCAAGTATTTGTTATTAATTTTTAACTATTTTTTTTTTTTTTTTTTTTTTTTAAACGGATTCCGTGGTTTCCATTTCGTCTGTCAAAGAATTGGACCCCCATTTTATGATCGTCGTCCTTTCACCCCCTTAAATAAACCTGTTTTACGCTATGGGAATATTTATTATATTCTCTTTTTTTGAGTATTTTCTTTACTTCAATCTTAAAAAAAAAAAAAAAATACTTAAAGAGTGTTGTAATGACAATTTTTTGTATTTGCAAATAAAGCGCTTTTTTTTCTTATTTCAACTTTTTATCACTTGGCGCTATTTCTCATCGTGACTTTTTTATAAAAAAAAAAAACTAATTATTTTGATTACTCTTTTTAATTACTAAATGAATTTTATTTCCGATTTCAATTATTGAGCAGTTTAATTATTTTTTTTCTCCTGAAAATGAACCTCATAATTATCTGTATTTTATTTCAATATTTATTTTTAAAATTCTGCAAAAAAACATTAGATTTATGATGGTATTCGCTCGCCCTTAAAATCGGAATTTAATTTTTTAATTTTAGTTTAGAAAAAAATCTATTTTTCTTAATTCTATAAAATTTTAATGACATTTTTTAAATTATATATTTTTTAAAATCCCGGTTACATTATTAAAATTTGTGTTTTAATTCCTTTTAGTTTTTTTTGTTTGTGTATTATAAATAAATTGCATTGTTTTTTTTTTATTAAAAAATGTTAAGTTTTTCTTAAAATTTGCATTAAAAATAAATTCATATTGAGATTAAGTAGGTAAATGTCAGTTTTTAAATGGAAATTTAATAATTCCATTTAAATAATTTAAATTCCTTGTCTCTTCTATAATATTTTTTTTTTTTTTTTTAATCTGACATTTATGTCCTATATTTGACAGCATTTTTAAGTAACTATGTTCTGTTTCGATATCAGATAATGATTGGCGATATGGTAGCTTAGCGTCCCAAATTATCACGGCTGTTATGATGTGTAAGTGTAAATCATTTAAATTGCAACAAAATACGGATATAGTTGATTTTAGCGTTTCAAACTATATTTACACGACAAATATTAATTTACCTCCCTTACATCAGACGTAATTTCTTAAACGAGACTCATATTATGAAGGATCTGCAAGAAACGTCGGAATCAAAGACTTTTATTATTATTCCTAGAATGAGAAAGAATTCGTGTTGAGAGGAAATGTTCTCAAAAATCAAATATTTTTCTTGTTTCTGTAAGCATTTTAACATAAACTATAATTTTATTTGAAATAAATTTATTTTAAATGGCATCATTTTTTATTTCTGGTGCAGGTAGGTTCGAACCTTTTTTTTTTCTTTTTAAATTCTGTGACTTAAATTATATTGATCATAAATGAATTATTTGTTTTACTTACGTAAAACAAAATGTTAAGTGATATTGTATTTTGAATGCAGTTCGTTTTATTATCAAACATGTGACTATTCTTTAATAATATGAGTCTCGTTCAAGAAGCTTATGTTTAAGGGAGATAAATTGTTTGTAACGCTAAACCTGACAAATAGATATTACAACAGCGAGTTAACTGAGTGTTAAAGTCTCCAAAAGTAAATACTTTTACTTTAGTTACGTGTGTGTGTGTTTTTTTTGTTTTCTTTTTTAAACAAGAGTTACCGAAAAGTTCTGTGAGATTTTTTAATCTTTAGCCCTTTAAAAAATAATAAAAAAGATATTTCGTCAGATTTTTAAATAATGGGTCAGGTCTAGAATTTTCAGCACCATTTCGTAATTATTATTTTGGCCATGCAGAAAAAAATGTTTGATTCTTCTTGACCATTTCAGCACAAATACATTACAACATTTTCAAGGATAACTTTAGTGAATTACGGAAGGAATGCAAAAAAAAAAAAAAACAAACTTGATATTATCACAAATCACAATGGTAGCTCCCGTCACTGATATTTCAATATCTGGAACAGAGCTACTAAAATAAATTGCCTCCTTTTTCACTTTTAAATTAATGTTTTCATTTTGTTTTTTTAAGATATTTGGTATCGATAAAGTTAACTTCATGAATAACAACTTCGTGAGTATACATTTCACCTTCAATTGGATCGTACGCTGTTCATTCGCCAAGATTATAAAAACTTTTTTTTTTCCGCTCAATTATAATATTAGGGTATTTTTTTTTTTTAAATAGTGACCTCCTGACAATACAGTATTTCATTTTCCTTGAAATATGAAGGGAAAAAAATGTTTAACTGTCGAAAAGTATACCTAGTGAAAACTAAGTTTTAGAACTGACCAAGTGCCCCTCACAGCAACTGTGATAATATTAAGACGCAAAACTTGAGATATCACCAAATTATTTGAAAAATTGTTAGCTCATGCTGGTCTCATAACTTCGTAATATACGTACTGCATAAAAATGCTGTCAAGTGTGTTGTTTTATTATTTTTTTATGTGTATTTTCTAATGTTAAAATTAGAGAAAAAATCCGAAAAGAATTTTTCTTTATGGATTTGATTTTGTTTTTGTGCTTGTTTTTTTTATCGATCGTATTTTTTTTTAGTTTTCATCGAGTGTGTGTTTATTTTTGTTTTTTTTCTTCTCCCCCAGTAAAGTATATAACCTTTTTACAAGTAAAAAGTCAATTACAGACGCCTTCAAACGTTGACCTGTTAATTTTTAATAAGAATTTAACTGGTGAATTTTAAAATAAGACTTAATTTCTGAAATGTTTTACTTAAAGGAAAGTTATGCTCATAAAAATGCCCTTTTCTTTATTTTTAAAGGTTTCAATTTTTCCCTCTATTCTTTTTACTTTCGAAATATACTTTCTTGTAAGTTGTTTCTACTCAATTTTTACTGTTTGAGGGATCATCACTGAATTGTTTCGTCATGTGCCTTTTTATTCAAGTTAGCATGGTCATCACCAAGGTATCCAGTGTTTTATAGCAATAGTACCCTTTAAATTTCCTATGTCCATCATTAAATTTCTCTGAATTCTCAGAACATATCCTATATTCGATCTACATGTGTATAGCAAAGGTGAGCATACAGTACTGAACAGTAAGGGATAATAATTCCTGGTCTTAAATTGTAATGGAAAGCCCACTTATATGTTGATAGCCCCAAACTTGTATCTGTCAAAGTTAATTTTATTGTAAACAATTTTGGTATCCTTTGAAAGAAGATTGGACAAATGCTGAATTGAGAATTTGTCTCAACTATATTCACCTTTCTATTTAATTTTATGAAATCTCCAATAAAATTTCATTTGGAGACTAAAAATGTTTATATTTTTATAATAAGTCTTTAGCTAGAAACTTTTAGATGTGGAAAATAAAAATTGCAATAGAATTCATTGAAAATGATAATTTAACATTTTCAGGTGTGCAGGACTGCCAACATCCAGAGTTTGACATCAAAATGCTCTTCTCAGTCTATTATTATCAGATCTCATATTTGTACTCTTTAAACAAATGCTAATCATAAACTTCAATGTTAAGATTCTTATGTGGTAGCATTTTTAAAGACATTTAAATTTAGATCCAGTTAGGTGATAGTTGTGAAATTTGCAGTAGTGATGAAATTGTGTGTAATGATAAAAAAAAATGTATTGATATATAGTAAGGTACCTCCACTAGATTGCTAAAAAAAAAAAAAAGTATAGCATGATGAAAAAAACGCCAAACTTGACAAAAACAATTTTATCGTCTAAATGTTTGTTATTATTAAGACGAAAGATCAAAATATTTTTGGGGTACTTTTTCCATTTTTTAATCATTCCTAGCACGTCCAAAATTTCCGTTAAAAATCTTTCTCTTTTTTTTTTTTTTTTTTTTTTTTTTGTGGTCTTTTAAATATCAATTATCATTTTTTTTCAAAACTTATTTTGAGAAAATCAGAAATTGTGTTTATTTTAAATATTTTGAACCAAGCTTAACTTAGCTTTTGCGCCGAAAAGATGTAATTTGAAAACAAAACAAAGCAGGCCATAAACTTTCGCGTCACTTGACAGGTGATGAATGACATATTCCGTGAGGATAATTTGTTCTACGGAAGGAGAAAAGTGAAATAATTTACATTTAAGTGAACAAATTATTTACCTTGTTATTTTTGAGGAAAACTTTCAGTGCTTTAATTTTTATTTTTATTTTTGTACTTTCACCTTTATGTTTACGATGCTTTATGGCAAAATATATTCTAAAGAAATTGAAATAAGGCTGTTAAGAGTGACATTAAATTTCATGAGAAAGGTATCTAACTTATAGGTACCTTTCTTATGAAATTTTATCAGAAGTGTACATAAAATACTATAATTTTATGTACATTTATTACATTTTACAGTGTTATTTGCATTCATTTTATTATTAATTTCGATATTTCATTTATGGAAAAATGTCATAACTGAGATTAATATAAAAATAAGATCATATAAATTTCATAAGATGATACTGATACTTGTAGGTACACTTCTCAGTTGAAATTGAAAAATCAAATTAACTTCTCCACACGTGTTTCGCAAAAGTAAAGGCCTTAAAGCGGAGAACAATGCTTAACTCAAATAACACAACTTAATTGTATTCTGGTTGGTCTTCCGTACTTTATAATTACAGCCCGATTATAAACACAAAATTACGTTTCTTAATTACTGCTGATCTTCTGATTAGTCAAAATGATACAATTTACAACGCGCTAAAAAAAAAAAAAAAATCTATCTCATAAGGAGACTTAGGAAACCTGATGCGGCTTTTAACTAATTTTATAATGTTTTAACAATTTAAATGTAAAAATCTATTATAATGAAGAAATAACAAATAATTGTATTAAAAATTCATTTTTCATCGAAAAAATTTGTTGCTTTCA